ATGAGTTCGTGCGCTCATACTATCCGTATCGCAAACGACGCAAGATGGATCACAGGAACGGCCCCTATAGCATACGCATATATGTACACATACATAAATGCCTGCATACATACATGCACCTATATATGTATATGTGTGTATCTATATAGCTATGTATATAAGATTGATTTGGCGCTTCGCGCCACACGCCTTGGTCCTCGAAGCTTCGCCAGTATTGACGCTTGACGTCGTCCTCTTTGGGCTTTGAAATTAGGCTGTACCATTTTTTCAAATCCATGTTACTCGTTCCTTATGTGTCCCCTCCCTCCATTTACATGTTCGTGCGCCACCCGAACTTTTCTGAGGGTGCGTTGTGATTCGGATTTCGAGGCGGACCCGACGACGTGGCGACGAGGACGCCACTTGGAAGCACCGAAAAACGTAGGACCAAAACCGCTTGCCCTCTTCGCTGGACCCTGCGCGCGCAGGTGTCGTAACGGCCTGCGCGTCCATTTTTGACACTGCTTGGATCGTTCAGCCGTGAACGATCGCGCATTCCTGTTGCCGGACGTGGTCTTACAAGCCCGGCAATTTCCAAAAACATGTGTTGAATTTGTGCGCATCTTTTGTCTCTCCGCGGTCTGCCTGCCCCCACAAGCCCTGTGCGCTTGCTGGGTTTGCCGAGATTCGCGCGTCGTCCGTGAATGGTGGGGGGCGAAACTGAAATAGACCCACGCAGATTTGAACCATCCAGCTGCAGAGTGTGAGACAGATTGCGATCACCTGAGCTAGATCGGGGGCGGCTTACACAGTAGGCGTCCCCAGTTCCGCTCGCGCAAGTTTCGGGCACCAAAAATGGCTTGCAAGTCCTCGCACCCCTTACAGAAGGAAAGGCTGTGATTGGGCTCGCGAAAGGTGCGGGCCAAACAAGATGGCCCGCAAATTTCCTCACACGGAACGGCTTGGATTGGGTTCGCAAAAACTGCGGGCCCAAACGTGACCAGCAAATCTCTTCGGCTCGCGCAAGTTGCGGGCGACAGAAAATGGCCCACAAATCCCTTCACTCCGAGCAGAAGGAAAGGCTGTGATTGGGCTCGCGGAAGCTGCGGGCCAAAAGAAAAGATGGTCCGCAAATCTCCGCACCACAAACAGACGGGAAGGCTGCGATTGAGCTCGCGGGAACTGCGGACAAACAAAAATGACCCGCAAATCTCCTCACCCGGAACGGCTTGGACTGGGCTCGCAGAAATTGCTGGTTAAGTAACAATGGACCGCAAGTCTCCCCGGATCGCGCAAGCTGCGGGCAAACAGTGGCCCGCAAATCCCTTCACTCCAAGCAGAAAAGGAAAAGTTGTGACTGGGCTCGCGGAAACTGCGGGCCAAACAAACATGGCCCGCATCTCTCTTCACCAGAAACGAGGAGGAGGAGGAGCGTGGGATGAGGAGGAGGATCGATGAGAAGTGAGGGGGAGGGCGATGGAGGAGATGATGATGACGATGATGATGTTGTTGATGACGATGACGACGATGATGATGATGATGGTGATGACGGTAGCGATGACGATGATGATGATGACGATGCGGATTATAATGATGATACGATGATGGTGGTGATGGCGATGATGATGGCGATGATGTTGCTGCTAATGGGAGGATGATGGCGGTGGTGGTGAGTGTGATGTTGATGATGATGGTGATGGTGGTAGTGATGACGACGATGGCGATGGCGATGGCGATTTTGATGATGGTGATGATAATGCTGGTGATGGCGATGGTGGTAGTGTTGGTGATGATGATGGTCACGGTGATGATGATCATTATTCGTATGCTGATGTTGGTGAAAATGATGATGCTGCTGATGATGATGTTGATGATGATAATGGTGATGATGATGATGATTATGGTGATGGCGATGGCAATGATGATGGTTGTTATGCTGATGGTGAGGATGCTGCTGCTGATGTTGATCATGATGGCGAGGGCGACGATGACGAGGATGATGACGAGGATGGAGATGATGAATATGCTGGTAATGATGTTGCTGATGATGCTGATGATTCTGCTTATTACCATTAGTATTGTTATTCTCAGTGTCTTACTTTCTACCATTATGATGATGGTGCTGGAGGTGATGACGACGGCGACGATGGTGATGATTACGATTATTTCTATCAACATTACTATGCTCAGTGCGGTTGTTAATACTCTTTCTTATTATCATCATGCGTATCATTAGTATGCTTATTCAATCGCTTCGCTCACTCCGCTGGCCCGTATTGCATGATCGCTACTGCTTCGGCGCGGGCTCGGGACCATTTCGGCGCCGCCGGAAGGAGGAAGATGAGGATGGGGAGGGGGAGGGGAGGAGGAGAAGAGGATGAGAAGGAATGGAGGAGGATGAAGATAAATATGAGGAGGAGGAGGAGGAGGAGGAGGAGGAGGAGGAGGAGGAGGAGGAGGAGGAGGAAGAGAAAAGGGCGGAGGAGGAAGCCTCTCGATGGCATTTTGCGGCGCTCTTGGGGCCAAACAGGGCCGTCGTCCAGATGCTTCTTTGGGAGGCCCTGGGGTCTGTGGAGAGGCCGTTCGGGGGCGCCTGGGAGACATTTTTGAAGCCTTGTAGGGCCTCTTTTGAGCCTCCTTGGAGCCTCCTGGGGTCTCTTGGGGGCCTCTTGGCGGCATCTTGGGCCATCTTGGGGGCCTCTCGGGGCCTCCTGGGGCCCTCTTGGGGCGGAAGGCTCGAGGTTTCGGTTCGTGGTCCCCATCTTGGGCTCCTCTTGGGGCCGTCTTGGGGCTCTCTTGGGCCGTCTTGGGCGTCTCTTGGGCCGTCTCGGGGCCCGTTTGGGCTCTCTGGGGGCCTTCTTGGGGGCCCCTGGAGCCGTCTTCGTGCGCTCTTGGGGGCCTCTTGGGCCGTCTTGGAGCATCGGAAAGCCGAAAATGCGACAAGGCCGACATCCTTCCAACACCATCGTGAAATTGATGATTTTGGCCTCTCGGGGCGCTCTTGTGAGGCCTCTTGGAGGCCACTTGGAGCGTCTTGGCGGCTTCTTGGGCCGTCTTGGGATCATCTTCGGCGTCTTGGAGCGTCCTTTGGGAGTCTCGGGGGCCTCTTGGGCAGTCTTGGGGGCCTCTTGGGGCCCTCTTGGCGCGCTCTGGGGGGCCTGAGAGGCCGTACCCAGGATGAAAACCATCTCTGAGTAGACCTTCCCGGGCTGCGGTCGGGGTACCTTTCGCCGGGGGACCCCCAGGGGCCGCCCCGCGCGCCCGAACCAGAAGAATTGTGAACCAGTTACCGGAGATCTTAGCACGCCTCTGGCCCGTTGGGCCAGCGAATTGTTCGTATGTGTATATTTAGTTTGTGGCATTGTCCGTATTGTTATTGTTGTTATTCTTAGTGCCAATAGCAGTACCAATCTCATGATGACGATGATGACGATGATGATGATGATGATGATGATGATGATGATGATGATGATGATGATGATGATGCTGATGCTGATGATGATGATGATGATGATGATGATGATGATGATGAGGGTGAGGATGCGGATGATGATGATGATGTTGATGATGACGATGCTGATGATGATGATGATGATGATGATGATGATGATGATGATGATGATGCTGTTCATGATGATGATGATGATGATGGTGATGATGACGGTGGTGGTGGTGATGATGGTGGTGGTGCCGACTATTACCACTACGATGGCGGCAACGAATCTGATGATGATAATGAGGGAAAAAACACAGTGCTGTTTGGTAGTGGCCAGCATGCCAAAAGAGTATACCCCGACGAGCTACAGTTCCAGGCCCCCTCTACCGAAGGCCATACAGCATGTACGACACACTACCACCCACTACCTTGTCCAATTGCCTACCGCAACAAGCTAACAACGAACCAAAGCGCATCGCATACGCGACGTACAATTTGCACAACTGCTGCGAGGACGAACACGAACCACCTACTACCACCTACCACCACCTACCACCTAACACCACCGAGCACGAAGAAGAACCGCCTACCACCTCCTACCACCAACAAAAATCATCAGCGACGAACAACACATCACCTACAGCGAGCGACGGTGACGACTAGGACCACCGACGAGAGAACCACCAGATGCAAGTGCACCCGTTAGGAGATATACATAGATATGCACATATATACATACACGCATACATGCCAATATGCATTTACACATAGATATATGTTCACACACGCATATTTATATGTATGTATACATGCATGCATGCATACACATGTACATACACACTGATGGATACACTTACACATACATATACATACCTGTTTACATGTTCACAGACATATACATTTGCATATACATACAAGTACACTTACATCTAAGTACATATCCATACGCATATAAATGCATGTACATATACGTGTACATGTATATGCACATGTGCATGCACACGCACATGCGAATTGGCATACATGTATGCATGCATACCCGCATACATACATACATGAATACATACACACATTCATACATACACAGTCACATACAAACATACAAACATACATACATACATAAGTGCACGCATGCATACACCAATTCATGCATTCAAACACATATATATATGTGTATATATACATTTACATATATATATATATACATATCTATATATGTGGACATACACGCATACATGCAGGTATGTATGCATTCATGTATGCAGACAAGCACACATACACATACACATGCACGTACACGTACACATACACATACACCTTTACATACATGAATACATACGTACATATATAGAGAGACAGACAGACAGACAGGCAGACAAACAGACAGACATACATGCATGCATATCTTGTATGTACATGCGTATTGGCAGAGAAAGAGAGGAACATATTTAGAGAGCGCGGAGGACAAACAGAGAGAGATAAAGAGAGAGAGGGAGAGAAGTCCTGCTCCCCATCCGTACGCTGATGCACCAGTTGCCCGTTTCTCTGATGCCTCCTTGAGGGGCCTGCCACTGGGCCGGGCAAGGTGCCGGTCGTGGGTCCTGCCCGAACGCAGCCCGCTGCCCTCGCGGCTGTCCTGGGACCCGGTGCTCTTCGACGTGTCCTTGGACCCCGCCGCGCGCGCGTGAGTTCCTTAGGGCCCACTCCCTGTGCTTCTGGAATTTTTGTTTTGGCAGGCTTGATTTTGACGTTTCCAGGCGCAGGCTTGAAACAGAAGTTTTTTGCGCTCTCAAGAATGCGTCCCGTGCGGTCTCCGACGGAAGCTCGAGGTATGATGCGTTCGATGGTGTGCGCGAATTCCTCGGACGCCGTTCGCGCGTGTGTCAGTATTGCAAGGAGCCCTGGAGTGCAACTCGGGAGCTCAAAGCGCCAAGGAGCCCCAGCGCATCAGAGCAGGTTTTGAGTTTGAGCTTTTGCAGGTGGCCTTAGCACACACAGTTATCGCTGCCGACAACGGCAGTGGTGATTTTGAATCCGCTCGCTGCGGAGGCCGCAGCTTAGACGCTGCTCGAGCTAGGCCCCCGTTGGCGTGTGACGTTTGCGCACAGGAGCGGAGCGTACGAGGGCAACTCGTAAGCTCACGATGCCGAGCTTGACTGTATCATGCGACGGGCAGATGCGGGGGATCATGTTGGGACGCTCGCTGAAGTTGTCCGACAGGGGAGCGGGAGGGCTATCCCTCGCTGCTGGTGTGGCCAACGCCAAACGGACTGCAGAAGGTGAGAGCGCGCCATCCTCCGCAAAGGAAGGCCACAGCTTTCAGGGAGCTTTCCGCAGACACGACGGAAGGCTGTCCCTCCTCTCGTTCTGATCCCTGCCCCTCAGGATCTGACGCCCTTCATCTCGGGCGAGGGCAGGCTCGCGTCGCAGGCGCTGGCCGCTGACTTGTGTCTGGTGCTGTCGCTGCCGCTGGCTCTCCGCTGTTGTTGCGGCTGCTGCTGCCGACGCCGTCGTGGTTGCTGTTGCCGCCTCCCATGATATCTTTGTTGTTCAATCTGGGCTCTTTTTGTTCCTGCTTCACAGGGGGAAGGAGGAGGATGTGCCGGAGCAGGAGGAGACGGAGAGGAAGAAACAACACGAGGAGGAAGTGGGGAAGGGGAAGGGGGAGGATGAGGTTGCGAGGATCCACGGGAGAACGCGCTCACGCAGCCCACATCCTCCTCAGGACTGGGTGTGGGGTGCTCGGGGTGCGTTCTCGTGATGCTCCCGATCCCAGCCGCCCCCCCCAGAACCCGCTCCGTCTTCGCCCGACGTGAAGCTTCCTTCTTCACCCCCGCCACCTCGTGGCCTCCTTCAAATGGGGGGGGACGACACCCGACGTAAAATTTGCAACGGATCGGAGTGTGACGACAAGGATATTGTGGAGGTATTCAATACTGCATCAACGAAACATTGGGATGCCACTGGATCTGAATCTACAACGCATCACCCATGAGAAACGAGTGAGCCGCGCGACCAGTCTAGAACTCTGGCGCTCCGGTGCCGCACCCGCAGCATCCCAGACGGTGCACATGTCCGGGAGTGCTCAGTGCTCAGTGCTCAGTGCTCAGTGCTCAGGGGGGCGCCAGGCGTCGCATCCGCAGGGGTCTCCCTCCGCGACTGGCTGGCGGGGGTCTCGATCCGCCACGGGGGCGGCGCCTCGCTTTCGCGCGGTCGGGCGGCGCTCTGCGCAGCGAGGCGGAAGGCCGCGCGCGGGAGGGACGCGGCCGCATCGCACCGGCAGGGGTCTCGCTCCGCGGCTGGCGGGGGGTCTCGCTCCGTGACGCGCCGAGCGCGTTTCGCTACTCGCAAAGTGCCTGCTCGCAGACGTCCGAACCAAAAGCAGGACTCCCTCTGTGGAAGACATCTTGGAAATCCCCCGCGGCGGATCCAGGTCATTTGCGAGTAGGTACTTTGCGAGTAGTGGAACGCGCTCGTCTAGAGACGGGGGCAGCGCCTAGCTGCGCCATTGGGGACCGCGCGCGCGGGCTCCAGCCTCGCGCGGGGAAGCCGCTTCGGATCGGAGGGGTCGCGCTCCGCGATCTTCAGGCGGCGCCTCGAGACGCTGGAGAGCGGGGCCCGCCGCGAATTGCGCGCACTCTTCGGGGCACCCCAAGAAATCCGCAGGATTCCGTGCAAATTCTTATGGGATCTTCAGGATGTTTTGAACATTCCCGAGGGCATCCCATGGATTGCGCATCATGTCCTCAGAATTCTGAAGTCGTCCGTCGGACTCCCCAAGAGACAAGTAGTGTTCCAGGGGAAGTCTTGAGGATTCCATCTAATTTCGTTTCCCGAGGGATTCCTTAGGTTCGGGCTCCTGCGGTAGGGCTCATGATTCAAGCCTGCGAACTCCCGAGGAAATCCATTGGATGCCTCGGAACGTCTGTTGGGTTCCCTTGGACGATAGTAGGACGCCCCAGAAAATCCGTAGGATTCCAGAGGACATCGCCAGGAAACCTTCACGATTGCAAGGAAATGGTCAGGATTGCTGAGGTACCCGTCAGGAACTCGTGAACTCCCTGGGCCCCTAGGACTGCCGAGGGAATCGTCAGGAACCCCGCTGAGGTGCGGAGGTTTCCTGAAGAAGGCCCCCGGAGCAGGAAGCCTGACACGGGGGGCCCCGCCCGCCAGGCGGCGAGGGGCCCGCTGGCCAGTTTCGCCAGGCAGGCCCTGGAGCCTTTTGTCTCCAGTCCCAACGGGATCGCCTTTCAGAGCCCCCGACGGGGCTGGCCGGAGGTTGAGCAGGAGGATGCCCAGATCTGTGCCACGCGCAGGACGCAGGAGGCGCAGCCCGCCTCCCTGCGTCGCTGGGAGGCAGGCGGTCCTGACCTCGCTCGCCCCGTCGCTCGCCTGGCCCTCCGCTGAACATTCCGACCAGCGGTCGCTGGCGCCCGACCTTGGGCGGATGCGCCGCTCGCTCTGGTGAGGGGGGAGGGGGTGGAGGAGGAGGAACAGGAAGGGCGATGGGCACCACGGGCCAGGATGAAGAGATCGACGAGGAGGAGAAGGGGGAGGAGTCAAAGAAGAGGAGGTGGTGAGGATGCGGGAGGGGGAGGAGGAAGTAGGAGGAGGAGGACGAGGACAAGGACGAGGAGGAGGAGGATTTTTTTGGATTGCAAGCGCGATGAACCTGTGACGGCTGTCGCGAGAGAGTGGCGCTGCAGCTAGCAGAAGCTTTAAAGATCAGTCAGGCAGGCCGGCTGAACTAAAAGACATTAATCTGCACGGGCACAAAGTGGGGCAAGGTCAGCACAGCACGAGCGCCCCCCGCATCAGAGCGGATGGAACGCGTCGAAACAAGGCATATAGATCGTACCTCCAACCCCGCTACTAACATTACTAACCCGTCCACCCGACCTATAGGAGGCGGGCCGCACGTATGGCGACCTAACAGGGACAGTATCGCAGACTCGCAACCGTGGTCAGTGAGACAAACAGAAGGCGACGGTCCTGCGACAGACTTCTTTTGGCAGCGAGCCTCGCCGGCCCTTCTGCCCTCCCTGCTACCCCATCCTGCAAGTGCGAGCAAAGAGGCATCCGTGCACCCGCCCTGCTACCCCATCCTGCACGGGTGGAGGCGCAGCCAACCTGGCGGCGGGCGCGACGACGACGACGCCGGAGAGCCCTGCCACGGGCCAAGCGCTACGGGTGCTTGGTTTGGTCGCGGCTCGACCCCCGAAACAGGACGGAGGGGGAGGGGAGGAAGACGCTCTCTCGGAGGGGAGGAGGCGAGGAGACGCTCGCTGCTACACTGCCGCGCCGCTCGCTCGCGCCGGGCGGCGGGGGCGGCGGGGGCGGGCGCGCGGCAGCGGGGCGGCGGGGGCGCGCGCGCGCCCCGCTCTCTCCTCTCGTCCACGTCCGTCGTCGCCCCCCCCATCCTCCACTCCTCCAGGGCGGCGCGAGCCACAGCGGCGGTCGCGCAAGCTTCTCAAGCCTGCAGCGCTCTCAGGACAAACGACCGAAGCCTGTCGCATCTGACGCCGAGGGCGAGCAAGTGAATGGCTAACCATGGGCATAGTCCTCTTCCAGAGGGCGCATCTGGGCAAGGGGCTTCGGGGGCCTGGAGGCGTTTGCCAATGGCAGCGGCCATCTAAGAGACGTGGGTGAAATAGACAGTGATCAGCCATACACACGGGCACAATGGGATCTGCAAGCTCTAGACGGGCAGGCCAACGCGCGATACTGGCCGAAACTATCGTCAGCTTGCAAGAACCATAGCACCATCCACAGGCTGTCTGGTAGCATTGCTACGGCAAGGGACTGGCAACGGAGTTGGAGAGTGGGGGCAATCCCACAAATGTAACCTTCAGCTGTGAAAACACACCATGCCCAAGACCTGTGTGAGAGAAGCACTAGTGGGCCAGGGCTGACGGAGGTGCCATAGAGGAGTGCAATCGGGAATGGGGCAGCGGGGTGCACTGACAGGAACACTGTAAACCCAAACCACCTCCCTCCTCTCGTCATCACCTGAAATCCCACTCGGTGTGCTGCGAGCGACGTGAAACCTGGGGCACGTCCAGAATTCCGGCTCCGAAACCAGGCTGGAACGTCCAGGGGGCGATGCGCTGAGCGAGCCGACGACGGCGTCGCTCTCGAGCCTGTGCTCGGTTCGCCGCAATCCGCGCACGCATCGCATCAGTCAACTCGACGGCCTGAGGCGGGGGCGGAGGGGGGGCAGGGGACGAGGCAGGCTCAAACGGTGGCTCGGAATCCCCTGGCTGAGGGGGCACGGTGCCATCGAGGAACGCTAGAGCATCTGCGTATTCCTGTTCGTCCGAGGCCTCGATGGGCCCCGGGGCGCGGGCCTCGGCCTCGGGATCAAAGACAATTCCAGGCATGGGCTGAGAGGGCGACTGCGGCTCGGGAGGCAGGAACCGATGCCGCTCGGGATCCGCCCGAGACCGCCTAGCACGCCCCGAAACAAAATCTGGAGCCCAGGACTCGTCCGTACCGACATACGGGTCCCACGAGACGTAAAAAGCTGCAAGCGACCCACGGAGCTCCTCCTCCTCCTCCCTCATGTCCTCTGGCCAATCATGCTCGGCACACGTCGCGCGCATATGATTGACTGCGTCCATTATGCTGTCTGCGAGGACTTGACATAGGGCCGGAGGGTAGGTTTTCTTCTTGGCCGTGCGCCACTCATCACGTTGCTTGTCGAACCCCATGAGTACCTCGTGGGCCCCGCGTCCGTGGGAACAACGGCCGCGCCCAGGTGTCTCGCACAGGCGTCCGTGCAGTGTGCCCATGCGCAGTGCGAGTATTCTTGTCGGCGCTCGTGCAACCTGACCGTGTTCGCACTGATCGAAGTCGGTCACCGACGCTGCTGGGGATGCCATAACGGCCCGTAAGGGCGGGCAATAGAAAGAACTAACCGAGTCGGGTCGCCAGTGCGCAGGCATGGGATGTTCCATCCAGCATGAGGTGCCGACGGTCAGGTGCACGGCGAACAGTTCAATCATCGCCCTTAGTAGCTCGTTTCCCACACGCAACTGCTCCATTTGTCGGGGAGTGACGGCCAGCAAACCCCAGAAATCGGCATGGGACCGAAGGGGGGGGGGCCCTGCATCAGGGGCCCAACGGATAGCGGCCCACGTCTCGCAGGGTGGCCCGCCGCCTGACAAGACAACTCGCCTGGCCCGTATATGCTCCTTCCATGCCTCCAGCGTTTCACGGCGCATCATGTTACCTAGTGCTGGGTCGATCGCGATATCGATGGATAAGACCGAAATGGTGAAGTCGGTGTGATACTCGGTCCATTCGAGGCAGGCCTGGATGTCACCAGGCCGTCGTCGGCCACAGTGCAGGTTGAGAGCGAAATATTCCGACCGTCGGATAGCAATGGGCAAATCCTGAGCAGCAGTGTCGGTAAACTGCTCGGTCAAGAA